ATTCAATTTGTCCTAATACTTTGTCAATAACTCGTTTTTGTTCGGGAAGTAAGCAGGGTACAAATTCGGCTACTTGCTGCTGCAAAGCTGGTATATCGTAGTTTGTTTCACGTATAATTTCATCACTTAGTTTATTTTCGGTTGTTCGCTGAGAGCTTATCATTCCAAAGTCGCTTAATTTTTTGCCTACTTTATCTTCAAGTTTTCCAAGTGAGACCAAGGGCATCTGATGACTTTACACCGGGCCAATTTGCAACAGGCGCGCCTTGAATACGGCATTTCCACTCCTTCCTAGATATATTCCAAGCGGAGGACTTCAGAATATAAGAACGTTTTTGCAAAGGGGTCGGTTTGACAAAGTTGAAAGAAGGCTGTTACTGTAGTTTTTGGCGGTGATGCAATTCTTTCTTGGAAATTTCTTTCGGTGAAATATACACGCTCTCCATTTTCTAAGTGCACAGCAAGGTGAGTAACTGTTGGGTGCCTTTCGTGTAAAGGGAACCAAGGAGACGCCACGCTGCCTCGTTACTGCTGACATAACGCCCTGCTTGAAAGGTCTGTACTTAATTAACGGGATTTGCCTCACCTTCACTCCTGAGATTAAATATTGCTTGGTCGCTTTCTTTATTTATTTACTTACAGGTATACTACATGCTTCTACATTAATGTGGCCATTAACCATTTTACATAGAATGGGCGAATATGGGTCAATCCAGCTGTTATCTAAGGTTTCAAACGCTCCAGAGCGAGATTTGATTGTAACTTTCCTGCCCCCATCTTCGGGAGCTCTGCGTCTGTATAAAGGGTAGCCATTGTCATTGTGCACTGTTTCTTTTAATAGATGTTTAGGGAATTTCTTTGTACATTTTCTTTCTTTCATACATGGCGATATTGAATTTCGTGCTATACGTGGACCGTGAATCATATTTCGGACGATGGTATTATACAATTCTTTATCTTGCTCGGGATCCGGAATCTCGGCGCTTATTATGTCGTCTATTTGGCTGGGCCGCAACTTCTCTTTAAGCCATATTAGAATGTGGGCATGCGGTAATCCTCTTTTTTGCCATTCAATTGAATACATGAAGCACTGCACCTCTTCGAAAATTTTCCCTTTGTTAATTACATTCATTAATTTTTGTACTTTTAATCTAAATACTCTAGCAACTAAATCTTCTAATCTGTCAGTACTTTTTTGGCCCGGCATTAGCTCCTCGGTTATTTCTTTCCATGTGGGATTGCAAGTAAAAGTAACAAAAAGATCAGGTCTTCCGTAAGTTCGTACATAGCCGAATGCGTCTTGTGTGTAATCATGTAGGTAGCGGGGACTGTTAACGAATGATGAGGGCAGAATTACCATTTTACTTAAATCTCTGGGGTTTACATTAGCGTCGCTAGAAACTGCATCTTGTAAATGTATATAATTCTCAACGCGCAGCTTTTCATGATTTAAAAATGTATAACGGAGACATTCACTTTCTACCTTCACATACATGTCTACCAAAAATTGATGATATAATTGTCTACACCGGGGTAAGACGTTAAAATCATTTTCTCGCAACATCATATGATACGCATAAAAATCCATACATAATACTCATTTGTGACCGGGTTAATGAGAGGAATATGAAAATTATAACCTTATTGTCCTTTGCTATAAATCAATGGGTATTGCAGAGAGCTCATAACATTTGTGTGTATCGGCTACCCGTTGCAACGTATCATCACGTGCTCGCAAGACAATGTCTCGTGAAGAAAATTGATCACCACTAATTACGGCTGCTATTTCGTTTATCAAAGGTGCATTGTGGCGCCTTTCATGCTCTCCTCGAGGGGTCCGATCTGCGTGAATGACGACTTTATAATCCTCTTCAAGTAGGTTTTCTAAAGCAGTTTTAAATGTTTTGACTAAAATGTTACGTTCATGCAAGAATCTTCGAATTTTGAACACTGTGTCTCCCTCAACTCCCTGGATAAATTGGCAGCGACGGTCTACCTCAATTTCTTCGTCACCCATTAAATATATTTGTAAAAATTTATGCTGTTCGTTTTCAGCTGGAAAAAGTGAACCTATTCTATGATAAATTTGCCATGGCACCGTAAATGTAGGCGAAAATCCCGGTCAACTCCGAAGGAAGTCATTTGAAAGCATGAGTTACATTTCCGGATCCTGTTTAAAACCGCCGTGACTCATTAGCATCATATAAAAAGAGAGTTTTCAAAGGTTCTTCTAGTTCACCAAGAAACGGAAGAGACACTTTGCCATTGGAACAGCACATGCCTGCGGTCTCATCTTTCCATTTTAAAGCGCTGCAAAATCGACACGCCTTGTACATCAGTCCGATAACAACTAACCTGTGATTTTTATAATCAATCAACGGATCATATTTGAAAGCTGCGTCATTAAAAACCCCAATCTTTGAAAATTTTGACGACGTTCAGCTTAGTTGCATTTGAATCTCTTCGCGCCTGCGTCTGTTCTGGTGTTTCAGGTGCCCTTACAGTAGATTGACGTTCAGCTTGCTCAATGAGTCTGTGTTGAGTTTCATCAAGTGTTTCCGCGGCTCTTAAGGCGGCCTGACGTTCCGCTTATTCGAATAGCCTTTGCTGACTTTGAGCAGGTGTTTCAGTAGCTCTTAAAGTAGATTGACGCTCAGCCTGTTCAAGACGCCTTTGCTGACTTTGATCAGGTGTTTCAGTAGCTCTTAAAGTAGCTTGACGCTCTGCCTGTTCAAGACGCCTTTGCTGACTTTGAGCAGGTGTTTCAGTAGCTCTTAAAGTAGCTTGATGCTCTGCCTGTCCAAGACGCCTTCGCTGACTTTGAGAAGGTGTTTGAGAAGCTCTTAAAGTAGCTTGACACTCTGCCTGTTCAAGACGCTTTTCCTGAATTTGAGAAGGTGTCTCAGATGCTCTAAAAGCAGCCAGACGCTCTGTTTGTTCTTGCCTTCTCAGTTCAGCATCTTCTAAAGATTCTAGCGATCGAGCTAATCTTTTCAATTGTCTTTGAGAAGATACTCTTGAAAGACTGGACTTACGTTTGCGAGGCATTATGAAGTAACAAAAAACCTATTTATAAAAAAACGTTAAAATACCTAAAAGGAATTAAATTTCCTTTTAAATATTTTTTTAAAAGTAAATCCAAAATATCTAAAAAGAACAAAATATTCCTTTTAAATATTTTTTAAAATCAAAACAACAAAACCAACTCAAGACACAACACGAATCTGAAAACGATAGCCAAAAGAAAATCGAATCAACTTAAACCAAATCACAAAACAAATCGCAGAAAACCGAAATCGAAAGCAGTAGTGAATATAAACATAACCAACGAAAAAAGAAGTAAGTGTATAGGTACCGTATACACTATTAATATTCCTTTGAAATATTGTTAAACAACCTAAAACAACGAAAACCAATTCACGATTCTAAATAAACAAAATCCAAAATCAAAGCCAGAGTCTAAATATGTATAAAAGAATACCAACCAAATCAACAAAACCGATCCAAGAAAATACACAAATCCGAAAATGAAAGCCAATATAAATCCATTCAACCTAAACCAAATCACAAAGCAAATGACAAACAACCAAAATCGAAAGCAGGTAGTCGAATAAGCTACGAAATAGAAACAATTTAAGCGTATAGGTACCGTATGCATTATAAGTTGACGCGCGGCTCAACGGCGGGAGTCAAGTACATGTCAGGAAACATTTCGTTGTCGCGTTTTAAAAACATAGTAACGACATCTAGCGGAATCAATTTAAACTATGTATACGTTAGTTAATAAGAACTCTGAAAAAATATTTTTCTCATAATTTTGCACAACTTTTCTTATTGTAATACCGATTCATTCATAACCACATATAAGAACTGTATTCATTTCCGTTCAATAAATATTATTAAGGCTTATTAATAAGGCTTACTAAGAACTGTTACTACCACAGTTAAGTAATAGTTAAGGGTGAAAGCGTGATAGGTGGTGGTAGTATTTCTGATCCATTCTTATAATCACGCCTGTAACCCTTGCGGAGTAGGCAGAGCATCAACGGATTACTTAATATCGTCTGCGAGGTTATCGCCTATTCTGTGAATTACAATGCACCAAAACGTTTGAAGAAAATCAGCTGGTGAATTTTATGTTTTTTATCGCCCTCTTCCCGGTCCTGCGTGGAAAAATACAGATCCATACATTTTTTATCTTAATTTTGGTAAAATGACATAATAATTCAGATATTCTGACCTGTGTTCGTTCGTCGTCCTAATCAACTTCATCCACTTTCCTTTATAATATAGTATGATAGATTTTTCATATTAATTTGTCTAACCTAAGTAATCATGTAAATGTCCAATTATTTACTTTAAAGGGAGTAATTATTTATCATAACAAATGATACTTACGGTAATCGATACATTTTTATTAGATAAACCGAAATTAATAACGAATCATGTCACTAGTAATTCCATGTTATTGATTTTTTTTAATTAAAAATACATTCCTTTTTTATCTATTTCAGAATATAATGGCGTCTAAAAAGAACAGTTTAGTTTGGAAGTTTTACGACAAAATTGATCACAATAAATCTAAATGTAAGTTATGTCAAATAGTTATCAAGTGTACTGGAAATACAACAAATTTATATTTGCAGATTCGCAATGTCCACAAGGCTGCTCACATTGAAATTATTCCGTTTCAAAGGACTACGTCGGAGAAAGAAAGTATCACGCGATCAGTTCTAGAGCCTCTTCGTTCCAAGATCCTCCACCGTTAATCCTTAGTTCTCAAAGTACGTCAAAACCGTTGGATAAAGCTTTAGCTTCTGACTTGGAAGTAATCCCTATAAAACGTCAAAAATCTATCAAGACCAGTTTTCAATAAATCTCCTCTTATTTAGAATCCGGCATGAAAACAAGAAAATTTAACAATACTTTGTTATATGTATATGATTTGTAGAGATCACCAGCCTTTCTCAATAGTCGAGAATGAAGGTTTCAAAAGTCTTATGAAAGCAGTTGCTCCTCAATATAAAATACCAAGTAGAAAAGGTCTAAGACGATGGTTGGATAATAAATATGAGGTTGTTTCAGAAACTTTTAAAAAGAAATTGTCTTCGATAGAAGACTTAACCATGACGACAGATATTTGGTCTGATACATTAAATATGAAAAGTTTTATAGGCGTAAATGTTCATTTTGAAATAGAAATTGGACTCATTTTAGTTACTCTCGGCGTATACGAACTCGATGAAAGACATACGTCACAATATATTTCTGAAATGCTTTTAAAAACTTGTGCAGAATGGGATATTAACAAAGATAATGTGACGGCTTTTGTAACCGAGAATGCTGCCAATATGGTGAAAGCTGTAGAATTGACGTTTCGTAAAAAGAAATACATTCCATGTTTGGCTCACGCGTTAAATTTGGTGGCTGAGGGCACAACGGCATGCACCGAGTGGCAAAAAATTATTACTAAAATTAAAGCAATTCTGACCCGGTTCGAACAAAGTTGCGTTGCTAGTGACGAATTGCGCAAAGCTACTTCTACTGAGACAACTTATACAAAGCGTACCGACGCGCTGGAATAGTACTTACTACATGGTACAAAGATTTTTAGTACTGCGGAGTGTCATAAATGATATTCTTTTTCGACACGCCACTGCACCCCCAATAATCAGTAGTTCAGAAATATCCATTGCCTCATCCGTCCTCCTGATATTACAGCCTTTGGAGGCAGCCACAAAAGAAATTTCTGCAGATAAATATTGCACAACCAGCAAAATTATACCTTTAGTCCGCTGCATATTTTCCAAAATTACTTCAGCAGGTGTCGCAGGAGAATCTGTGGCACGAGAAGTGTAAAAACTGGGTCTGCAAAAAATTACGAAAAGAATGGGTTCCATTGAACATGTAACTCCTCCTGCTATAGCAAAAATTTTAGACCCACATTTTAAAAAAATCACCTTAACGAGCAATAGCTTGTACCAATGCTGTATAGAAAATCAAAGATTTAATGAAGATTCATTTGCGTCAAATTGAAGAAATCGAGTCAGACTCGGATAAGTCTGATAAAAGTGAAGAGACATTTTCATTATGGAGTGATCATTACAAACTGGTACATCGCATTTGGAAGAGTAATAAATCTGAAGATAGCTTGTCGGATGAACTTTCAGTTTATCTGAGAAGTCCTGTTGAAAGACTTAACGACAATCCTCTAGAAATTCGGAAAGATTACAAAATACAGTTTCCAATACTGCATAAAATTGCCTTTAAATATCTAACAATGGTGGGCACATCAGTGCCATCAGAGAGACTGTTTTAGCAAGCGGCGCAGGTAATGACTCAACAAAGGAATAGATTAAAGGGTAAAAGATTGGGTAAAATTTTGTTTTTACAAAGTATAGATAAAAATTATTGGGATATGTATTAAAAATAAATGTAAAGGTAATAAAGTTATTTTAAGAGATGCTTGCTTTTTATTCCTAAACATATTTAACTTATAGAAAAACAATAGATGTATAGAAAATATCGATGTATTTTTTGATACATCGATATTACATCGATGCAACAATCCGATGTTCATCACTATACACAGTGTTGGCAATATTAAAATCTAGCTCCCGTTGTAGAGAACACTATAATCCCGTCAGAATCCGTCAAGTAGGTATTTTCGAGTTTTCATTCCACCTAAATATTAAAAGTGAAAGATTTGACATCGATTCTTGACGCGAAACCCGTCAAGACGAATTCGATCAAAACGATTCTAGCGGGAAACCCGTCAAGTTGGCAACACTGACGATGCATAACCTTGTGAAAATAATCGATTTTTATTTTCAATCGATTATTTATATAAAATCGATTATGAGTTACTGGTTTTTATTTAAAAAATTAATCGATTTTACTCCAACAGTTTTCGATTTTTTTGCAGCAGTAAGTTAATGCTTGAAACATTCCCAATTTATAATTATTGTAATAATTTTGTACAAATTTTATGAAAAGCAATCGATTCCGTCTTAAGCGTCGGCGCGAGTCGGTCGTTTAACTAATTACATTGTGCCGTGCGTATGTGTGAGTCTCGTGTAAAGCATCGTTAATGCTATATATAGAGTTTAACGTTAATGCTATATCGACATCACTCGAACGCATCGTTGGAGACTTCGCACAGATCAATTTCATAACAGAGCAGTCAAGTTATAAACATGACAACTGTAAACAGTACATTTACGCAAGAGTGTGAAACTGAACAAGATTTAAGACCCGGAGAAATGAGTGTCAACGAGTCATTTATTGAAAATGAATCACCTCCTTCTTATATAACATTTCGGAAAGGGAGTAGCGTGATTCCTGCAATTTCCGATCTACAACAAGAATTTAAAACTCGTCAAAGCAGTTTACTTAACAGGCTTGATTCCTGGTTCTCAAAACAAGAAACAAAATTTAATACCCTTCCTAATGACTTCGACGAAATTAAAACTACGCTGAAATTTATCAGTGATAAATACGATGATTTAGACAAAAGAACTCATGATGTCAGCAAGCTCGTATCTAGAATAGAACAGCAGCTGAAATCCACACCGGTCTTCGAGGCACGAATCTCTGAATTAGAAACTAAACTGGCTGAATTTGAACAAAAAACTCGAAATTGTAATATTGAGATAAGTAATCTGCCTAAAAAACGAAGCGAGAACTTAATACAAATACTGGAGAATATTGCTAAAGTCATAAAGCAACCAATTTCTACTAAAGACATAGTTACAATTCATCGTGTACCTCATATGAACCCTAAGATTTCACGCCCGAAGAACGTAATTGTAAAATTTCTCAATCAAGCAACGCGTGACAACTTTGTTTCTGCAGCAAGATTATCAAAAGGAATCACAACAGAGCAAATAAATATGCATGGAGCCGTTCAATATATAAAAAAAAAAAAAAAAAATATATATATATATATATAATATATATATATCAATGAGCACTTAACTATTCAAAGTAAGAATTTGTTTCGTCAAACTGCACGTGAAGCTGCAAAACAGAACGGGTATAGATTTGTGCGGATCAAGCACGGAACTGTACTGGTTCGTGCAAGCGAAACATCTGCTATTTTTGCCATACGAAGGGTACAAGAAATATTATCGAAAATTAAACCAAAGGATACCAAATGATGGAATACTTAGGATACTTGTGAACTTACAAAGGATACTTGTGAAATAGTTATTAGTAATAGGTTTGTGCAAGCGAAACATCTGCTATTTATGCTGTACAAAGATAACAACGTCAATTTTCGAAAAGTAAACATAATGATACCACGTAACAAATTTAAAAATAATATGAATAAGGTACGTCCTCTTATAAGATTTATTTGCAAGCTCTTAGTGTTGCATTACTCTATGTGTTGTTTACGACTGGGACAATTCTTTTACCACATATATTTTTCTGCGGCCACCGTCACAATAACTATTTTGTGTTTACATTTTATATACAATTCCATTTACGTTTTCTAACAAACAACATAATACAATTATTACCAACTAAATTACTTTTAAAAAATCTTGTATACGAACAATTTTTTGCGATATATAGTTTCATATGTTTTTTATTTCGAATTTTACACTTTTTATATTTTTTTTAAATTATTACTAGTAATTCTTAAAACGTATAATATTTTTAAAGATGGCTTATAAAATACAGGTATATTATCAGAATTGTAGAGGTTTGAGGACAAAGTTGAGTACTTTATTCAATAATATATTGTTGGAACATTATGATATAATAATTCTCACGGAAACATGGTTGACCTCGAATATTGCAGATAGTGAATTCATTGATTCGCGTTATGTAGTGTACCGATGCGATCGAAATCGAGTGTTATGTGGTAAAACAGACGGTGGAGGTGGACGGCGATTGGCACTCGATGTATTTTAAAGCCCACTTTTCACTGTGAAGACGAAATTATAAATGTCCCATCTAATATTGATTATGTGATACTTAACTTTTATTCTAAGCAACACAACGAATATCACGCTGTTGGCGGTGTTTACATACCACCAAATAAACCCTTAACTGCTTACCAATTATTTTTAAACTCTCTCCAAAATGAGCTTATGTGCAACGAAAATACAAAAAAATATATTTTCGGAGACTTTAATCTACCCGACATTGAGTGGCTGCAGTATGACGGGAGTACATGTACTCCTAATACACATTACTGCAAAAATCCAATGACTTTGCTCGTTTCAAATTTTTTATCAATTGGAGGTTGCAAACAATTTAATTTAATTAAAAATAATAAGAATCGCATCTTAGATCTTTTCATTTCAAATAATGATACAAGTACTTGTAAGTCACCACTAAACTCTTTAGTTCCGATAGACGTCTTTCATCCACCACTTAACGCCGAGCTACTTTTCAACGTAGAATACATACAATTGGCGCGTAAAACTTTACCAAAATACCGATTTTCCGAGGGCAAATATGCAGATATTAATGACGATATTAAACGTGTAGACTGGGCAAGTATTTTAGAGGTGCCGTCCTTAGACACTGCCACCAACCACTTTTATGAAGAGATATATAAAATCATTAGGAAACACGTACCTTTACGCCCAACCAAATCTAAAAAGTTTCCAATATGGTTTACACGCCCACTAATACACATATTTAAAAATAAAGAAAAATCATGGATAAAGTGGAAAAAATCTTCTAACCAAGTAGATTATGAGGAATACTCTGTACTTCGAAAAAGATTTAAACAACTTTCCGCGCAGTGCCTTAATTCATATTTAAGTAAAATTGAAACAAGTTTGCAGAAAGACATCAAAGTATTTTATTCTTTTGTAAAAAATAAAAAAAATGTGGTATTTCTCAACGTAATGCCTCACGATGGAAATGAAACCGATAATCCTGGGGACATATGTGAATTTTTTTCCAACTATTTTACTTCAGTTTATGAGAACAGCTCACTGATGACGTACGACATAGATTCACTTCCTTGCTCATCAAACACTAACTTTATTATCTCAGATATATCATTTTCAAAAAACACAATAGAACAATGTCTAAAAAACTTAGATATAACTAAAAGTTCAGGACCAGACGGTATCCCACCTTTTTTCCTCAAACATACTGCTAGCTCAATAAGCGTACCTCTGTTCTATTTGTATAACCGCAGTTTGCGTGAAGGTTTAGTGCCCACAGTCTGGAAATCTGCGAATATAACCCCAGTGTTTAAAAACGGTTCTAAAACTGACGTGACTAATTATAGACCTATTTCCTTACTTTCTGCCTTATCAAAAGTCCTTGAACGCTTAGTACATAATTCAATTTATCCGAGTTTACACAACTTACTAATTCCAGAACAACATGGTTGAAACACCATCGACCATCAGTAATCTTATTTTATATACAAACTTTCTGTTTGATAATATGGACAATCGAATACAAACTGATACCGTTTACACAGACTTTTGTAAAGCTTTTGATAAAGTGGATCATTCCATCCTTCTTCAAAAACTTGCGTTCAATGGTATACGTGGAAACTTATTGCGGTGGTTCTCTTCATACATTATTAATAGGACCCAAATAGTTGTGGTCAATGGATTCTCCTCTAGCGAAAAATTAGTATCCTCAGGTGTACCACAGGGATCTATACTAGGTCCGATGCTCTTCACATTGTATATAAATGATATTCAGTCTTGTTTTATAAATAGTAATTTTTTGTTGTATGCAGATGACCTGAAAGTTTATCGAAGTGTAAAGTCCCTTAATGATTGTGAGAAGCTACAGGAAGATCTTGACCGGTTATCTAACTACTGTCTAATCAATAAACTGCAATTAAGCATCCCTAAATGTAAATCTATTTCTTTCACCAAAAACGTAAAAACCTACAATTACATATATGCCCTTCATAACAGACCCTTAGAAAAAGTATCATTAATAAAAGATTTAGGCATCCTTTACGATTAAATCTAACCTTTATGCTCATATCAGCCATGTAACAAATAAAGCGTATCAAATGTACGGAATTGTTGCACGAACGTGTAATTTTTTTAAAAGCTCCTCATCTTATTTACTACTTTTCAAATCACTTATCAGACCACAAATTGAATATGCAACGCAAGTATGGAACCCCTATTATAATAAATACGGTGAACTTCTGGAAGCATTACAAGCAAAGTTTCTTCGTTTTATAAATTATAAATGTTACCACGCTAAATCATCGTATCGTAACTTATTAAAAAAGTTTTCAATTCATACTTTAAAAGCAAGAAGAATATATTTTGATCTGATACTATTATTCAAAATAATTCGAAATGATTTAGATTGTAGTGAACTACTTAACAAAATATATATCCGTGTCCCTAGTCGTTCTCAACGCATTAGAGACGTGTATACACATAAATTGTTTGCGCCTAAACTATGTAAAACTAATGCAGGTAAACGCGCCCCATTAAGACGTATTATGAAAGCATATAACGTGCATTTTTCAAATATTGATCTATTCACTTCATCACAGTTACAATTTCGCAAGAACATTCTAAGAAAGTTGGTAGATATTCAATAGTATCTTTAAATATTTTACAAGATAAATTTGTACTGCTAGCAATTTTTTTTAATTATTTTTTTTCCTTTTGTCTCATTTTGATTTTTATGTTACTGAGTACTGTTAATTTTATTTTATTTTCCCTTATACTCTGTTTATTGTGCATTTATTATTTACTGTTACCAATTTAATATTACTTTGTGGATAACGGTGCTGGTTACATAATGACTAATATTATTTATAAAATGTTATTTGGTTTAAGCATTATTATGTAATTGTTTGTTGTCCTGAATAAATTAAAAAAAAATTAAAAAAAAAAGAAAAGCAATAAATATTAGAGCAAGTTTACCACGCATGGTAACACTACTACTACCAGAGTTTTCGATGCCAGAGGGTGTGCCACCATCTAAGCGTCAACGTTTTACCGCACACAACCTTTCATCAAACCAATGTCGCACAATCAATGTACATCACATCATCATCCTCGTGTTGCAGTCCGTCGGCGTCGTCAACAAATCGCCAACCACCTATTGCAAATCCACCTGCTACAAGTCGCGGTCGAGCATCAGTTCAATTTAGCCATTCCTCTGCACCTAGTGCCCGAACACCCCAGACGAACAAGCGACACAGGAACTCAGAAAATGGAGCTTTGAAAATAAAGATCAAAGTTTTACTGGTAATAGGATGTATTAGTTATCTCAGAATCCATATGTACTGGCGTCAAGGTATGGATTTGCAAGTTATATCTAATGTCATGACTAGAGACCGCTTCTTCTTGCTCCGCAATAATCTGCATGTTGTCTTTTCAGACACACCACCACCAAATAATACAAACCTGCTTTGGGAAATACAGCCGGCAATCCAAGTCATTCACAACGCTTGCGAAAAAATTGAGAGGTCGCCAGGCTGCTACAGTAATAATAATAAGTACGACGAGCAAATAATTAATTTTACGGGAAGATGTTGCATTCTTGAATTAGTGCGTAACAAACCGCGACCGCTGGGATTAAAAAACTATGTAGCTACTACATACCCCGGCCTCATGGTCAGTTTTGAGATTTACTACCCGCAAAATCCAGTTTTTTATAGAAGTCTAGGAAAAGGGCCCGGAATCATCTTCTATTTGGCGCAAAACATCCCACGAACAATAAATGCTCCAAGAAACTGCCGAATGGAAGATTGTAAATCACGATCGAAGATGCTCTGTTCAAAATGCAACATTTACTTGTGCCTTTCTCGAGCTAACAATTGTTTTTACGACTGTTATAAAAGTCTTCTATTATTAATAATAACTCAATACTTTTGATCTCTGATAGTTATTTAAATACTTGAAAAATAATTCCCGACTGCATAAAGATTGATTGATGCAAATGTCAAAAATTACTCTAAGAAATGTTAATTGTACGTTTAAAAATATTTTTTGATTAAATTTCTTACGTTAAGAAGTTATGTTAAATGTGTTAAGCAAGAGAAGAGATGTTTGATACACACAAAGAAAAATAAAGTTCCTTATATTGAAAATGCCTTTTATTTTTCACTTACAACTGTACCCCCAATTAAAATACTATTTACAGGGTCGTGACGGAATGATATGATCGTGTCGGTAGTATAATGGGGGTAGAAGCACCCCCAGATTTTTTTACTATTTTTCCCTGTTTACTAAGACCTTCAAGTCTCAGAAAATTTACCAAATTTTTCAGAAATTAATATTTTTTTTTCTCGTGCTGAAAGGGTTATAATACCAAGACAGTATTCCTAATCACAAAAATCACAATATCTCATTAGGTATTGTAATCTAACTAGCACATGAAACATCAATTGAAGATTGATTAAAATTAATACTTCCTACTGTAGTTGGAGATCCATTATATAATACGCAAAGATCACATTCATCCAACATGTTATAGTTATCAGTGACTCTAGTTTTTGTTGTGAGACATCCAAAAGCAATATGATGAGCATTTAGGTCACCTGAAAGCAACAGTGGCGCAGGTAGACTGTTAATAATTTGTTTTAATCTTCTAACCTTAAAGTCCACTGGGTGGGGCATAGACACATAAAATGGATATATTACCTAGACGTGTAGTAAGGGTTATAACTACCGACTGCATATGATCATAGAACTTGTGGGGACAAAAAAATATTTGAAACTATATTTAATTAATATTGCTACTCTTCTACGTCTATTTTTTCCATTCTGATTAATGAAATTATAGTTTGGAATGTTGATAGTTTTATTCTCTCACAGCCAAGTTTCATTTAACAGGCAAATATCTATATCATTCTCAACTAGATAGTTAATAAGCAAAGGTTTTTAATTATTAACGGATTGTATAATATAAATGTTAATATTAAATTGTGAAATTTGAATAAATTGTTTATTCATTGTTTTTAAGATTAGTAATAAGCATTTCTTTTATACTTGATGTAGTCAGTTTACGGTCTGAGTTACCCACGGCCACCAATGCTCCAATAATTGCTTTTAAAATATTGTCATTTGTTATAATTTGATCAATATGAGTGTTATTATTATTAGTTGTAGTATTAGTTTAGGTAGTTTCCGTCTTTGATTTGTGTACTTCAGGAGTGTCATTACATTTAACTTGTAATTGATCTATTGTTGAATCCATTGTTTTTTGCAGACATTTAAGGGAAATTTTCGTTATAATTGTTAAATAAATTTTGAGTTTGTTTTATTTGTAAGACTTTAGCATAACCCTATTATATTTTTGATCATTTTTTTTTATTGGACAATCTCTAAGAATTGCGGCATGAGACTACAATTTATGCATTTAATTACCGCATTTTCCTTACATTCAGTGTACCGATGTTCATCTGCACAAATTGAGCACGGTTGCACACTGATTTACAAAATTTCGCTCCGTGATTAAATTTAAAGCATTTAAAACATTGTAAAAATAGGGCAATATATGCACCCTATATTGGAATAAATCCGGATGTACAAAGTCAGGTAAGTTGGTTAACAAAAATGTTACACTTACAGAACTGAACGGTTTGATCTGTCCATTAACTTTTTTGTAAAACGATGCACGGCGACGACCTAATATTTCGATGATAGTTTTTTAAATAGCTCTTCATTACTTATACATGGCAACATACCGGAGTATCCTGATTGTTTCCACCGCCCTTGCTGGTATAAAAGCCTTGTAATCATACTTCTCTAAAAAACTTTCATTTTTCAAAAAGTCGTTGGCGTTAACAGCCCGCGCAAATACCACCCCTACTTTAGAAGCATTTATTCTTCTTATATTAATGACTCCTTTGACTTCGTTTCTGAAAATTACCGCCAAAATTAAGGGATTCGTATTGCCTAATTTAACTCCTTCTTTACGACTCAATTAAAACCGTGTATTCAGCAATTCCTATTGACTCGGGAAAAACTGTTTTATAATTTAATTGGTAATACGGCTTATAAAAATCATCGTTTTCCCGCTGCAGGTCTTCTACGCTTTGGCGGTTTTCTTTTCCCGCCCGCATCGTGATCCATGGCTTTATTGATGCCGTCACTATCAGACGGCGTTTCTCTTTATTTCGTATAAAATTAACAAATTTTCCTTTAGAAGTAGAAGTTAAAATAAATAATGTAATTTTAATTTAAAAATACGCGCTTGTTCCTCCCGCCAGTAAAAAGGAAGCCACATATAGTTCAGAACCACAAACTAATAAGAGTATTAACGTACAGAACATAGAACAAGAAACATACTACCACTTTCCGTATATAATATTGTAGTCTTTGCATACTACTCACTGGCGAGTGAGAAAACATCTCTATGGTAAAGGCAACCACAGCCAACACACCTACATGACGCTAGCGCTATTGCGGAATATTAAAGAAAACAAAATAAGCGGGAACTTTCAAAAAAGGATATTTTTATTGCATTATGCAACTTTACGCAATTATTGACATAGACAAATAAATCGCACAGTGAGAATGAAAGTGACCGATTTCGAAATTTCTGCGAATTGAGTTAAACACTTGAAACTACTCCTAATAAAATGGTCCATCGTGTAGTGAATCAATAAGAAACTATTTCGTACTAGAAAAGGACAAACATAAACATTGCGTCTCTTTCCGTTTCGCGTGTCTCAGCCCTCCCACTGCAACGACAGTGACCGATTTAGTATTTCGTCCGCAGTGTTTCTCGTTGATTGTTAGTTAGTTAATTTTAAAGTGGCTTAAACCTCAGTTCGCCAATATTCTACGCAAACGGACTCGAAGCTAGTTGGAGACTGCGTGAACCGTTTAAACGCCCTGGGATGTAACAAGAGGGTCGTCTTGCGATGGGTTCCGGGTCACGCGGGTATTGTAGGCAACGAATTTGCCGACAAACTTGCACGGGAGGGCTCACAGTGCACACAAGCACACCAGGCTTAAAACATTCTAAAAACTTGATCCGGCTTTTGATCGTAAATTCGCTGCAGAAGCCCTGGGATTAAATAAAAATAAATTGCGCAATCTGGCAAGAGCCCTAACGGGACACTGTTGTCTTAAAATACACATGCACATGCACATGTCGATCCTGGGCTTAAGCAACTTAAGGATGTGTCGGTTCTGATCCATAACGGAAGAAACGCCTCTGCATATCCTGATTGCGGACCCTTAATGCGCAAACGTAACACTCATCTGGGAAACTAACTACTCCGCCCAGAAAAAGTGAAATTGCTCACAGCTAAGCAACTCCTTCAGTTTATTCAAGATATAGGGCTTAGCAGTGAACTATAGCCATAGCAGCGATCACAATAGATCTTTTAGGTCGCAGTGATACTAGTCTCTTTCCCTAGACTTGCATAGCTTGACCAATGTTTGAATTGGTCATTTTTGTACTATAAATAAAGCTATGTGTAGTTACTCAAGTCTAGTTCGGTCATTTTATTATAATAAAAATATGCTAAATGCAATGAATTATTTTTAAATAAGTCTTTTTTCTATTAAATATTTTATCCGTGTAATGTACTATATATAGTGAGGTCAATTTATGAATAATTCATTGAAGTAATGCTGAGCCTTAATAAGTGTTATGCCACTTTATCATACGTAACGTGTGTGCATATTTCTGCTTAGGTCGTTTTATGAAAACGAGAAGATGAAACGAAGAGTTGATTACATTTTTCAAATGCTACCATCGGACCGAGGAAACGAGGTACGAATTATAGTAATTTTAGGTTATAATTAGTAGTTCAGTTCTTGTTATTTATTTTAATTGTGTAATTTTTTGTATGTAAGTACGATTCATAACTTATTTCTTTACAGCATAATGAAAAAGAAAACGATGTATTTATAGCAAATTCGCAAAAAAACAAGTATCATGAATTACAAATAACTCAAACTAAGCAGCTAACTGACTAAGACTAAGGTATTATTGAAATATTAAATACTTAAAATGTTGTAATAAAATCTCCTTGAGTCTATAGTATTTATTAAAAAGCTGTTTTTTTCTTTCTTTCTAGAATCTTCAATCAGATGAAAGTTTATCTTTTATTGAAAACACACCGGAAAGAGAAATAAAAAATACACAAACACTTAATAACAACCCAATAGAGGTCAGTTTATGAAACTATTATAAACTCGATTTTTATTTTAAGCTATTATTATAATATAACTTTCGTTATTTATATTTTTTGTAACTTTTAGTTGCCGAAGATGGGCTACAATGAGATGAATACTGATCAAGCTTCTAATAGACCAAAGCTTCTTAACTGTTCTGAAAATCTGACTGTGGTAGTATTTAGGATCATTTAATGTTAATCTAACCGGTGTTAAAGCGCGAAAAACAAATAATAAGTCGGATGATAAGTCGTTTGTCCTTTAGGTAACAATAACTCAACCTGCTATAACAAATATTGAAGAAGAACCATCAACATCATTTCCACGAAAACATGAAGCTTCCAGAAAATCGAGCACCCTTCATCCACTTCATCGAGGTCTTCATCATCGAGTTCCACTTCGTCGAGCTCTACTTCATCGAGTTCGACGTCAAAGATACAGCACAAAAATAATAGTTTTTCAGTTTCACGTGTTCGAAGTAATCCAAAGTATCAAATATCGCCAGTAATTACTTATGAAAGCGACAATGACTTAAGCGAATATGATCCAGCTTATTTGAATAATGTCGGGCCAAAATATATTTCCTCATCAAGCAGCTCCTCGTCATAACGGCGTTCACCATCTCCGTTATCTTTATGTCCTAGATCTGATCTGAATACGCGCAATAATAATTCGACTGAAAATAATCCTGCAAGATCTAGGAAACGTTTGAGAAACCCATCTGATTGGAAACAAAACAAAACCAAAATCCTCAGAAATAGTGGAAAACCGTATGTTTCCTTGTCAAAATCTAAAAAACTTATTCCCGCTCGTCAGATTAAGCAGGTATGTAATTGTTGGTTGAAATGTTTTGATAAGATGCAGGATACATATAGAATCAATTTGTTTAATCATTACTGGCGGATGAATAATATTGAATTACAACGTGCATTTATTCGATCTTGTACGCTTGAAGTTAAACCCAAGTACAAATATTCTAATGATCAAAGGCCTAGACAACCTAATAACGCCTTTTACTTTACGGTAAATAAAAATAAAATACGGATGTGTAAGACCTTTTTCATCAATACCTTAGACGTGACAGATAGAGAAATATGAACAGTCAAGAAGAAAACAAATAATCAGGGTTTTGTAGATTCAGACATGCGAGGAAAACATACAAACAGAAAAATTATTGAACCGGCCCTTGTAGAAGACATAAAAGATCACATCGATTCGATTCCCAGAATCGAATCCCATTATTTACGAGACAGACTAGTAGAGAGTATATTTCTAACAGCAAAACTATAATAGAATTTTGGAGGAAGTTTAATTTACTTCAAAAGGAAAAACAACCGGAATGTGAATACTGGTTATATCTAAACACACCTAATAAAGATTTTACATTTCACATTGGACTTCATCAACCAAAGAAAGATAGGTGTGAAACTTGTGTAGCTTATGAGATTGCCCCCGCAGACATAAAAATTGAACTAAAAACTAACTACGATAGGCATCTTATTGAAAAAAAATAAGTGTCGTGAAGAAAAACAGAGAGATCGCGAGAATATGGAACAAACACATATTTGTGCTGTGTACGATTTACAGTCTGTAATGCTCTGTCCAAGTCCATCCTACTTTTACTATTGCTCCAAAATTAACTGTCTAAACTTCACAATGACCGAACTAAATAATAAAAGTAATAAAGATAATGTTTCTGCTTACGGTGATGTTGTGTGTTATTTTTGGGATGAATCCCAGGCTCAAAGAGGAGTAAACGAGATAGGTTTTTGTATTTTTTATTACCTAAAACAATTGAATCTTCAATACCCAAATAAAAAGTTGGAAATCACTTTTTACTCTGATAACTGTACGGGGCAAAACAAAAATGAATCAATGGCAGCGTTGTACTCTTTTGCAGTTTCTCATTTAGAAAATATAGAGAGCATAACACACAAATATTTGATAAAGGGCCATACCCACAATGAAGCCGACGTGCACAGTTTAGTCAAAAAAGAGATAAACAAAAATGAAAGATCACGTCGCATTTATGTACCCTGTCAATACGCAACTCTTATAAAAAGTGCTCGAAGAACTGGTAAACTTTTCATAGCCAAGGAACTCGATTACACTTTTTTTCATGACATTAAAGCTTTGCTAGACCAATGGGGTTACAATTTTAATGAAGACATTGACAAAGTTACAGTAGTATGGAATGACAATAAAATGCTAAGTTTTAGAAAGGGAAACGAGTTTCAAATGCACTTTAAAACTTCTTATTTAAAGACAGATTATAGAATAATTAACATGCGTAAAAAAAGGAAGAAGATGAAAAGTTACGACGAAATAAGATTAGATAAATTATTTGCGCAAGCGCTCAAATTAAAAGAACATAAGAAAAAGGATCTAATGAATTATTACAATAATTTGTAATATAATTTCTTAGAACAATAAAATATTGATTCTTCTTTAATAGCTAACGTTGGAACGTATTCGACGATTATAAGGCGTGATCCATTTCGAGGTTCCCTACTTTTTTAAAGAAAAAACACAGAAAATTCAAATTTAATGGAGAATGTTTATTATCATTTGAAAGAACATTCTTTGGCATTTATTTTTCGAAGATTATGTCTATCAAATGTTGGCCGTTGCCACGTCGCAGATGGTCCATCCGTGGAGTCCAATTTTCGATGACTCGTTCGAGCATTTCGACTGGTAACTGGCGAATGAAACGCGTGATGTTTTCCTCCAAGGCCTGAATCGAAGCGGGTTTGTCCGCATAAACTTTATATTTTAAATATCCCCACAGGAAAAAGACTAACGGTGTGATATCACACGATCTTGGTGGCCAATCGACCGGCCCAAAACGTGAAATTATGTGCACACCGATATGTTCTCTCAATAAATCCATTGATTGATGCAATGTGTGGGAAGTGACGCCGTCTTGCTAAAACCAAATAGCGCCGAGATCGCGAGCTTCAATTTAAGGCGTCAAATAGTCGGTTATCATAGCACGATTACGGTCGCCATAGACGGTTACGTTCGCACAGGCATCATTTTTAAAGAAATATGGACCGATGATTCCACCGGCTCACAAACCACAGCAAACCGTTGTTTTGTCTGTATGAAGTGGCAGTTCTTGTCAATCTCCTCAGGTTGCTCTTCGTCCCAAATGCGGCAATTTTGTTTTTTTACATACCCATTGAGCCAGAAATGGGCCTCATCGCTAAACAAAATTTGCCTCGAAAACGTCGGATCTTCTTGGAACTTTTCAAGAGCCCATAGAGCGAAGTGATGTCGCTTGGGAAGGTCGAGCGGCTTCAGCTGTTGCACAAGCTGTATTTTGTACGCTTTCAATTACGTCAGTCCAAGTTGCTGCGAACGGCGCCGAATCGACTCTCCACGACCTTTGTGTACACTCTCAGCTACGGCCGCTAAATTTTCTTCACAGCGTGCTAGACGTGGTCTATTCAGTCAAATATTATCCAATAATGAAGGCTGGGTCTCAAAATGGGTGATGGTGTTGCGAATAGTACGCTCAGTAGGCCCATTATGTTGACCATATGTTCAGCGAAGTGCACGAAACACATTCCTCACAGAACGTGAATTTTCGTAATAAAGTTGAACGATTTGTAAACGTTGTTCAGGCGTAAGTCTTTCCATTATGAAATGCCAAACAATACTAAACAAAAATATCATGACAGCAAGACACGACTCACACGTGATCTGTCAAAAAAAGGCTATTGAAAAAAGTATCTCTAACTGAATCACCTATTATTAACCCTTTGTGATTTTTAAATACTTAGGATTAAATGATAGATACTTATTTTCAGTAATCCACCGCGTTTTTGAGCGCAAGATAAGTACTCTAAAAACAGTGGATTACTGAAAGGCATTGAGGACTGATCAATCCCGAACAAGCCGGTTTCCGAAAAGGCTTCAGTACCATGGACCACATACATACCCTGCGGCAGATTGTACAGAAGACCGAAGAGTACAATCTGCCACTTTACCTGGCGTATGTGGTCTATGAGAAAGCCTTTGATTCCGTCAAAATTTGGACGGTGCTACAGTCCCTTCAGCGGTGCCAAGTTGACTGTCGGTATATCGAGGTCCTGAAGTGGTTGTACAGTAGGGCTACGATGTATATGCGAGTATAGAACCAGAGTGCGAAACCTATCCAACTGCAGAGAGGTGTAAGACAGGGTGACGTTATATCCCCGAAAATCTTCACCGCTGCGTTGGAAGACGTTTTCAAGCTACTGGACTGGAAAGAATACGGTATTAACATCAATGGCGAGTACATCACTCACCTTCGATTTGCCGACGATATAGTCCTTATGGCAGAATCGCTGGAGGACCTTAGCACTATGCTCAATGACCTCAATAGTGTCTCCCAACGGATAGGTCTTAAGATGAACATGGACAAAACAAAGATTATGTTCAATGTCCATGTCACACCTATGCCGGTAGTTGTGGGGACCACTATGCTCGAAGTTGTTGACGAGTACGTACCTGGGACAAACAGTCCGACTAGGTAAGTTCAACTTCGACCGAGAGGTCAATCGACGGATTCAACTCGGCTGGGCAGCGTTCCGGAAATTACGACACATCTTCTCGTCAGGTATACCTCAATCTCTGAAAACTAAAGTGTACAACCAGTGCGTGTTGCCAGTGATGACTTTACGGATCAGAGACGTGGTCCTTCACTGCTGGCCGTATGAGGACGCTCAAGGTCGCTCAGCGAGCTATGAAGAGTGGCTATGCTCGGAGTTTATCTGCGTGATAGACTCAGAAATGAGGATATCCGCAGTAAAACCAGAGTGACCGACATAGCCCAACGGATTAGTAAGCTGAAGTGGCAATGGGCCGGCCATATAGCTCGAAGAACCGATATTCGATGGGGAAGAAAGGTTCTCGAGTGGCAGCCTCGTACCGGTAGGCGTACTGTAGGGCGACCCCCACTAGATGGAGTGACGACCTGGTAAGACATGCAGGAAGTCGATGGATGCAGGTG